TGTGATATGTTTATGTGAGAGTTGAATCTTCTTTTGGTTCCAGGTACATACCCACTGGCGATCTCCTATGCGCACAAGCAGAAAGACCTTGGAATCTCACGGTCAATTTTCTTTCTTTCTTTGAAGTTTTATCAGCTTTTTTGTTTGAGAGATGGGCTTAGTTAGTGGTTGTGCAGATTCCTTCCTGTATTTTAGATTTAAGATAACAAAGCTAGTGATCCACAATGTCGCTCTCTTAGTCTGCATCTTTATTCACAGAACCCATAGAAAAGCATAAATCTCAATTCCTCACTACAAAGTAGACCCTCTTTGTTATCAAAATACTAGTACTCACAATTCTCTTATCATTCTTGTTTGTAACTCTAATTGCCACTAGATATAGATTTTGCATTCAGCATCGTCACCATTTCACTATTTGCCTCAATATAACCTGTGGATTCAACCATGACCAAGTCGGTATAACTGATGATTTTTGGCAGCTGATCTCGATGCCTACACAAGATTATCACCCAAGCCTTAAAATGGGAACTATCGAAGATGAGTTTTCAAGAAAAACAAGTATGTCATCTCGACAAGGAGGTGTGCCTGAGATGGACGTGGCTAGACAGGTTTGCCAACTATGTATCGGAGCGTACAAGTACATGTCGGTGCTATGGAGGAAGAAGTAGTCGGATCGGATGTGATGAGGTTTCTGCAGTGGGCTAGGTGCTGGGAGTATCGCCAACAGCCTTCCATCGTTTGTCCTGACAAGGCCCCCCCAAGCAGGTACGTTTCTTCTTACATTTTTATGTAATCTCGAATCAAGCGGTGTCTTGACGCATAGGCATTAGTGTCTGCCTCACCATGTGGAACACTTCCTGAAACCAGCCACATCAAATCAATCTTCTGACTGAACTGTGGACTCTGTTCTTGTCTAAGATTGATACATTTTACTTAAGCCATGGATCGACATTTTACTTAGTCTTGTGTTTCACTGAGTCTGGGGCTGACCTCTCTTGGTTCTTTCGTGGTCCACCGTGTCGTGTTAGACGTGGAGGTCGCAAGAGGCCAGTTCCTAAGGGTATCGTGTATGGTAAACGTAAACCCACCAACCAGGGAGTTACTCAGCTCAAATTCCAGCCCAGTAAAAGATCTGTTGCTGAGGAACGTGCTGGTTGCAAATTGGGCGACCTTAGAGTTGTCAATGAGGTAATTAACCACCACCCCCTATGTTAATCATTGTAGTAGAGAATGATCTTGTG